AATGCCTAATCTGTAATGTTGCTGAAATGTTCTTTGGATCTGCAGGTAGCAAAGAAGAGACCTTCTTTGATTCCCATGCTTGGTTGGAGTCTGATTGTGAAGATGACTTTTTCAGTGTAAATGGTGGTATGATAGATTCTGTACCGTATGCTTTTTTCCCCCCTCCTCCCTTCTGCCTGTCTTTCTCTTGCTTCTTACGTGTCTATCCCTCCATGGGGAATGGGACTTGGGCATTTGAAAACTGGAAATTCTTCATCCTGCTATATGGGATTGACTTTGTTCTCTCAGACCATGTGCCTTACATTTGACTAATTGGTGGGAGAATTAGAAACAGACTACAGTAACTCTACTGAAGGCCCCCCACTTGTCAAAACCTAGGTACCTTTTAGAGTGGTTTCTGCTATGTCCTTGTCTGTTTAACATACGTGCATGAGAGAACTCAGCAAGGTTTCTGCAACTTGCAGACTGGGGGTGAGCGGCCTTGCTGTGCAGCCCTGCTTTGCTTGCATTTGAAGGATATTTAACGTGTTGAGCTAGTGCACCAAGGTTGCATTCAAATATTTTGGCGGAGCAAAGGCTAACTGGCTCGAATTGTATGTTGATTTGGTTTGGATACTTGTAGCATTCTTGATGATGGGATGCATATTTATTGCCTAAGATACTTGTCTGGGCTGCCTTAGAAAAATACTTGTCTGGGCTGGAACTTAGGTTCTAGTTGCTTCTTGATGTTTTAGGTTCTGCACAAGGCCTTAGCATAAGTTATGGTTATTCAAATTTTGGTTTTGTGCTTTGTTTGTCCCATTTTGATGCCTCTTTCTACTTGATGACAGATTTTACACCATCTCGTGGAACTACTCCTGTCCATTACAGCTTCTCTGGGGGAAACCCGCGATCCAATAGACACCCTTTTGCTGAGAACTCGACACCTGTGCAGTCCACATCAGATAAGAAAAAAAAACTATCTGAACTCTTTAAAGACACGGGAGGTGACCAAGATGAAAATCAAAGTGCAGCTGGCAAGTACAATGGGGCTGCTCGACAGTCAGATTCAAAGACTTCTGTTCTTGAAGCCCCTCAAAAACCAGGAAATGATATGCCTCATGTCTCTGGAGCTAACTCTACCGGCAGTAGTGAAAGATCTCCAACTGGGGATGTCAGGCTTCCCAGGGAGAAACTGAGGAAGTCAGCTGAATGTTGCCTTCCGAGGTTGCGTAGCTTAAGTGAAAGGAAGAAGAGGACTAGCCCTGCTCGTAGTCTTGGGTGATAAACGAGCCATGTTGAATTTTGCGCTATGTATATTGAAAACCGATTTTTTCTTTTTTTAAACTAAGGTCCAGTAACACACTGAGATCAGGAATTCAGGTCACTCAACCACACGGGCACGGGTATTCAGTAAATATCTGAACGAGAATTTGGATTGAGGTGCATGTATACAGCTTGTATCTTACAGTAAATAATCCTTTGGTAGCAAAGCAAAAGTGCAGTTGTATATCTAATACCATAATGCTTAAACGCTATTTTGTTAGTTCAGGACATCGGATAAAATTGGAACGATTAGCAACACTTTGTGCAAAGATGATGACATGCACAAATCGAGAAATGCTGGTAATTATCTTTTCGTTTTTAATTGGAATTGCCTGAAAGGATGGTTTTGATTCATGATGTTTTCAAACGAAGGGATGGTGCTTTATATTGCACATGTTACGATAACATCTTTATTTTGGTGGCTGGAATATATATTGGGATCAAGCGAAGTGCACGCAGAAGTGTTCTAGCAAAGAGCTGTCTCGGAAATTTTTATCCTTGGAGCACCTCAAACTTTCTTTTTCTTTTTTAATTTTTTCTGTGGTCATTTGTTTTTCTATATCTTCTAAATTTTGTTTTTGCGAAACAATCAATAGCATCTGAAGAAGCGCTGAGCTTCCCTGACCGAGCTGACCTGATGAGTTCGGAGTGCTGATGAGAAGAGCGTGTCCCAAGCCTGCAAAGCGAACAGGAGAGTGATCTAACAGGGGAGCCCCGAGGTCGTCCCGAGGGCATTCCGACGATCAAGTTAGTTTTCCGGTGAGGGAGATTCACGGAAAATAAAACAGTCGGGAATAATTGGCGAGTAGTCAGCGTATCTTATGCAGTCGGTGTACGTTACCATTTATACCTGCTTGGGAGTCCGACCTCCGTACGTTTCGGGACCTGCCCAGAATAATCTCAATTCCGCACTGAGGGAAATCCTCCCCGCCCTTTACGGGATCGTTCCCTGGAGCTCCTCGGAGCCCTAGCAGCGGAGGGCCGCGGGACGGTTCCCACGGGCTCGAGGTCTAAGCCCAACTCAGGCTCCCTGGGCTGCCACGTGTATAGGCCCAGGCCAGGACGAGGCCTCTACAGCATAGACTGACTGTGCGGTGGCTGAAAGATGACTATTTTGTCAATGGCGCATTATGTCGGCAATCTGCAGCTCAGACATGTAGAGGCAGGCAGCCCTTGGAACTTTCAATCCTGGTGGCATTTCATCGTGAATCAAAATCCCACGCGGTTGCAGATTCTTTATTCTGGAAGAAGTCGCCAATAACAGCTTGCCCTTTTAGATTGGAACTAAGCAGGAACGGAATAAATTAGTGCATTAGGAAGTTTCAGGTATCAGTCATGATTCTTCTTCCATTCTTGATCAGGGGTTCCGAAGGTGACAGACACATGCATAGGATCATTGGATTTTACTTCTTGTTTAGAAACAGTTTGATCATCTTTCTATTCTTTATAGTTTACCTCTTTCTGTTGACAACTTTTCTTGCAACGCTAAAATCCCCAGAAACACGGTAACAGATTTCACGTAGATGCGATAGAAGGAGGTGGTTGATTGCCTTTACGTGTGGAGAGATGATCTGATCTAAACATATCAGTGGAAAGCCAAGTGTTCCTTGCAAGGAAAAAACACAGAAATTTTCCGATTCTATTTGTCTGATGGAAATAGTGCTCCCAGACAATCTTTATTCACAAACCCTCCAACGTAACTACTTCCTTTCCTTTCCAATTCCTGACCGTTTTACAGTTTACACATACTACTAATATCAAAGAAAGAACAATTCCGTATCTATATATATGGATATTTACAATTTTGAGATAAGCAAGAATTCCAAGTGGGCCCACTACCCATTCCCTTCTCAGTGGAAGAGCATGAAAAGGATCCTCGATCTCTTTAGTCAGTTAAATTGACCCATGAAAAATTCCAATTCGTTTTCCCATTTTGGTTCACTTTCTTGTTCACACTCTCTTTCCCATCTCTATATATATACCTCCAGTCCGAACGTCCCAGACATACATACACCTCCGAGCTCAGAAACACTTGGTTGTGCCAAAGCAAGAAATGGGCTCCTTGAGTTTAGTTATTTGGAGCTTCTTCGCATTACTCTGCCCGATATTAAACAGCAGCAATGAAGTAGTAGCCTCCAGTCGGGGTGGTCCTTTCCGCCTTGCAGAAACCGAAGTCGCCATTGGTGCAGCGCAAGCTGGCATCTGCGCGAGTGCGGTGACGATACACGGTTACAGGTGTCAAGAGTTTAATGTGAGCTCTCTTACTCGCCATACACGCAGAGAGTTGTAAATTAGGAATCGTCTAATTTACTCGCAACCTGAATTAATATGACTTAAAAAACCCCCCAAAGTACTTATACTTAATTAAAACTGGACCAACTAATGAACTTCGTGTCTCAGGTGAGAACTGATGATGGCTATATATTAAGCGCGCAAAGGATTCCGGAAGGTCTGGCGGGAGGTGGCGGAGCAGCAGGCCGCCGGTCTTGCTGCAACATGGGGTTCTGGTGGTAAGAACTCGCTTCGCAATATCGCATGGTAGTGTTACATATCATGACCAATTACATTTACTCCCCAGGTTTATGGAAACTTAAAACATATATATGTTAATTTATTTATATGACCTGTAAGATCTTTATGTAATGGGTCACCGACTCATCGCTCAAGTTTCCCACTTTCTCCCACTTTCTCCGGGGTGGCGGGTGGTTTATATAATTGTAAAGCGTGGAATCGACAGGAAGAATTTGACGGTATAATGAAGAATGGGCCACTCTGAGATTTCCCTTCCATTTAGTCAAAAAAAAAAGGATACATCAATTTCTCTGCTTGTTCCCACCCGCCTCTCGTTAAGCGGTGCTTCCATACTTGGGACCGCAGCCTGAAACAGGGAATTCCTTCTTTTCTAGTTTCCAAGACTCCCAACAATGTAGTACACTTCCCTGATTGTCCCTACATTTTGCTTCATTAAGAAAATGATCAAAGAGCGAGCATAATGCTGTACACTTTCATCTACAGTAATGCAAAAACAGACTCTATTAAGTTGAGATTAGGCGTGATGGATGCATAAAGTCCGTCTAGAAAGAACCCAGTCATCTATTCTAGACCCCTCGTGTCAGTCTCTCCTCAGTCAAAAGCCGTACTGAATGACTTGCGTTGAATCGAAAGTTGCATTTGTACTGGAAGCACGACCAAATGGGGCTTGACCCAATTGAGACCCATCCTCGTGGAATTGTCATGCTGATCAATGTTTTAAAATTTGGACCGGCAAGTGAGTGAGCGGAAAGAAGAGCCCACGTTTGGTAAAACTGAATTTTAAAAATTGGAATATGAAATATGAAGTTTAAAATTTAAATTCATTGAATCACTAAATTGTTAAATATTAAATCTAATATATATATTTTTTTATAAATTTTGTACTTTTGCGTTGATTCGGACTGAAACCGTCAAGCTGATTGAATTCGATCCAAGTTTTAAAACATCGATACTAATTAAAAGCATAGTTCTAATCTATGACACGGATTATATATAGATCATTTTAATAACAAAGGATTGGTTCTTAGTTGGCTCTTTCAACTGATTATAAATTTTAATCTTAAATTATCATTCGTTTTTGTTTTTGTATTTGGATTGTAGACTTTTTAATAGTGAAAAAAAATAAAATTTATAATTTATCACGTAGTAACTATTGCTAATTGTGATAATTCTGTAAAATTCATGACCAAATTTTGCCAATTAACTTGAACAATGCCAAAGTTTGAGGTGCAGCTGTCCTAGAATCCAACATAAAAAACAGGACTACATCATCGTCTCTATACGTAACACTTGGTAAAGTTTTGGTACATCTCAGGCAGCTATACCCTGATGAAAGTACCCAGGAACATGGATCTCCCACACACCAGAACCTCTCACTTGGGTGTTAGGACCCTTGAATAGGCAAAAGTAACGTGATTGGTGCCACTAATCTCTTGGCAATGCGCATGGAGAATGCACATTATCGCGTCATTAGGTATTAGGGCCTTGATTTGTCTGGACTATTGCGTTCACAAGCCGCCATGGATTCTAGTAAAGAATACAGACAGATTCGGTTCTTTGTCACAAGTGCCCGGTAAAGCTAGTTCACAAGAAAGCCGAAAAACGATCGGCGCTACTTCCTCGAAAAGGCTTTACTGTGCAACATGTACTTTTGTGCAAGAGGATAAGTACAAAGTTGTCTCTTTACGACCAAAAGAAAAAGCACAACGTACAAAAAGTACGAAGTTGTGCCCGTGAATCCATAAAGTTATTTGGAGTTGCGTACTAGTTGGTCTTTTCGGTTTTTTCTTTTTGGTTGGAATTACTTGGTATATTTTCTTGGTATAGCGACAGCCAGTAGTACTAGTAAGATATTTAAACACACCATGGGCAATAAAGAATGGATCGAAAATGCTACGAACGATGTGTACGCAGGATGGAATGACTTGGTTGCTGAACTCTCCTCAACAATCTTTAGCTATGATCTTGGCTGATAGGGGATTCGATGTCTGGATTGCCAACATCAGAGGAACCCGATACAGCAGACGACATGTCACACTTGATCCTAGCAAACCGGTAAACTTTTATTTCCCCTATATTCTTTTTTTTTTTTGCCGGTTTTATTTCCCCTATATTCAGTTCTATGCTATCTTATGTATTGACTTGGCTTATACCTTTTCTCGGATCTCCCCCCCCTCTCTCTCTCTCTCTGTTTTTTATTTTTTTCTTCATGGTTGTTTCTAGTTATCTTTGTTTGTACCCGATAGGCTTAAAACAGACGATCCATTGGTTGATTGTGGGATCATGTGGTCTCTTGTTGATCGTCAGGAACCCTTATTTTCTTACGGTGACACCTGACAGAGAGGTTCATGTATATATATGCTTTTAGTGCCATATGAGACTAATTTCACCTTCATATTTTTTGACAGGAATTTTGGAATTGGACATGGGATGACCTGGTGATGCATGACTTACCAGCTCTTCTGGATTTCGTGTTTCAGCAAACTGGTCAAAAAATCCACTACGTAGGCCATTCCATGGTAAGAGTTTAACCAACAAAAAAAGTTGTCCTTCATTTTAATCTGTTGACGCGGATGAATATGGAATACATGAGTACTGAACTCAAGGGAAAGAAAGCATCAATGATTTGTGCATTGCTATTGGTTCTTCTTCAAGTGAAACTGGGAAATACACTACTGTACTCGAAACATAATCCTGAGGGTCGTCGGTGTTATTTCGTTATTTCCTAGGGAACATTGATGGCTTTGGCAACATTTTCCGAAAGGAAGCAAATAGACAAGGTAAAATCCGCGGCCTTGTTGAGCCCGATTGCTTTCTTGAGCCACATGACCACTGCGCTCGGTGTCGTAGCTGCCAAAGCCTTCGTAGGCGAAGTAAGCAGAGATTTTGACATCAAATTAATTACATGCATGCTTAATAGAGGCCCATTTCAGTACTTACCATAATAGCATCTAATGATTTGTGTTTTCTAATGTCAACAGATCACCACTTTATTCGGTCTTTCAGAATTCAACCCGAAAGGGTAAGTAGACTTACCAAATGGCAAATGCGCCTTGTTTATAATTTGGTTATAAAACCAGCAGTTCCTTGGTTTTCTAATCAGTTTGGAGGACATAAAAGCGTCAAGATTCTGGATCACCGTTATTCTTGTTTATATATAGGGATGCTGTAGCAAGTCTTCTGAAGGCTCTGTGTGCTCAACCGGGGGTGGACTGCTATGATTTGCTAACCGCCTTAACAGGTAATGGACATATTATTATTATCTGAGATTGAACCAAATTATCAGAAATCCAAAGACATATCACGTATATATAGTGCAGTGAACTTCGATCAGTGTTTACTACTTTTTTTTTTTTTGGGTTGCTAAATCAAGGGAAAAATTGCTGTCTCAATGCTTCAACTGTTGAGCTTTTCTTGAAGAATGAGCCTCAATCTACTTCGACGAAAAATCTAGTGCATTTGGCTCAGAGTAAGTTGAATTGACGGTACAACAAATTAACTACGTACCTGTTCTTAAATATTGCTTAGCTCCTTTTCTTGGCTGGTTGGTTGGTTTGGATTCGCAATATGAACAGCAGCACAGCACACGCTAAAATCTGGATGTTTCAGCTGTCCGAGATGGAAAGCTCACTAAGTACGATTATGGGAATGCTTACTTCAACGTGGCGCATTATGGCGAATCAAAGCCTCCATCCTATAATTTGGCCAATATTCCGAATGACCTTCCAATCTTCCTCAGCTACGGAGGCCAAGATGCTCTATCTGATGTTAAAGATGTGGAGACTCTGCTGGACAGTCTCAAGTTCCATGATGTAGAAAAGTTGCATGTCCAGTACATCAAGGACTACGCTCATGCCGACTTCATAATGGGGTGACTGCGAAGGACGTAGTGTATAACCAAATTGTGGAATTTTTCAGATCAAACCAGCTGAATTAGTGGTCCTTCATCGTGAGGTCTTTTCTTTTTTTTTTTTTTGTCGTAAAAAGACTCTTAATTTGCTCGGTTTTCTTGCAGAATGTGCGTACCATTAATTGGAAGATTCTAAGTCGTTTCAAGAGTGAATTGCTGCGTAATAAAATAACTTAATTGGAAGACACTCGGCTTAATTAGCGCACTTTGCATTTGATTAACTTGGCCGGTCTGAGCATTACAACCTAATTAAGCTAAGCCAGTTTTGATACTACTTGTATGAATTCTCACGAGCGAAGGCAAGTCAATATATGAGTTTTGCAAGCACGGAGTCTCGAAAATCCATCAATTTGACTTGATTTCATATGATTAAGTTAATTAACAATCGTCGAGTCGTTTAATAGAGGGAGTTGTTAATTGGTAGTAGTATTGTTTAGTGGTTGAGTTTAAGCTTTATGATTGCTTTGGTAGCGATTAGAGCAAACAAATACACCGTATATTGAATACTCACAACTAGAAATGATCACAAAGATTGCTTAGAGATAACTTCAAGTTTCCATTAATTTGTTAAGAGGACCCCACGCGCATTATTTGCTTAGCAGGCAATCCAACCAGCTTAATTGAATGCTTCGTTCTCAATCAATCCATTGCTCCTACATTTCCACATGCACGCTTCATGTTTGGTGGCCATTTTGATAAGCCATCAAGCCCGTAGCATCGGACAAGGATTTCGGGTACCAACCGTCGTATGACAAGGGACGATTGGTGGAGCTGTCTACTCTTGGGATTTAAGAAATGAAACTTCCCGACCAATTACCTATCCATCCCCTCCCCATTAGCTGCCATGATAGACTATATATATACACTCCCGTGAACCTCAATTAAAGGAGAGTAAAGACTATAGTCCAGAGAGTCTCTTGTCAGTTGGCGTAGTGATCTCGACCAAGAAGTTTGTGAAGAAGCAGAGTTGATGATTGAGAAAAAATGGGATACGAGCGCAAATTCGTGTTGGTGATGGTAATTCTCAGCCTGGTTGAAAAACAAGCCTCAGCCACGAAACATGATGTTGGGGGAAGCCAAGGGTGGGATGAATCCACGGACTTCAGCTCCTGGGCATCGGGTCAGACATTTAAGGTCGGGGATCAACTAGGTAAGATTCATGATTCCGTCGTTAACAAACCTAATCAATTTTGGCCTCAATCAATCAATCTTTCACTAGGTATATAGGTTTTTTGTAATTGTGATCATGTATGATGAATGATGAGACAGTATTCAAGTACACTCCGGGGCTGCACAGCGTGGTGGAGCTTGGCAGCGAAAGTGCGTATAAGAGCTGTGACATAAGCACGGCATTGGACTCCAAGAATGGGGGTAATGACGTGGTTAAGCTAGACAAAGCTGGTACCCGCTACTTCGCTTGTGGAACAGCAGGGCATTGCGGCCAGGGGATGAAGGTCAAGATTACCACCGTCGCTGCTGCGACTGGAACTGCATCCCCTAATACACCGTCATCCACGTCCTCCACCGCTTCAACTTCTCCGCCTTCCTCTGCCCTACTTCAACATCTCCTACCCTTCATTTTGGCTTCTTCTTTGTTAGGATTCCATCTGCTTTTGTGCTTGTAAACTTCGTACGTCATTAATCAAACCGATACGAAAGCACCTACAAATTGCCAACTCCATCTACCTGGCAGGACTACTCTACTCGCTTAATTTGTCATTTGTCCATTCCAACCCCGAGCTCTTTTCTTTTTTGGAAGGAGATTTTATATCTCAGCGAGCTTACTTATTGTTTTAGTGATTTCTTGGAGGCCATATTATGACTATATATGAAGTACTCGACATCTGTTTCTGATTTCGTCATGATTGGTTTCCGGGATTTTTCTTTTCTTCTTTTTTTTTGTTTCTAGTGATTGTCAAGATTAAATGCTAAAACTGTTGCCCAACTTTTGAAAATTAGGCATGCTTTTGGTTTTCTTCTTATTCTCCTTTTCTTTTCTTGTTTTATTGATGTTTGGATGGGGGTTATATACAGGAAATTAATCAATCAATTTACAGTTAGAAAAGATGGCTTGGAAAAAACTAGCAAGAAGAAAAAGATTTTATTCAGAGCATGATTCAAGTGAATACAACGTTTATTATTATTATTATTAAAGAAAATCAACAACGATCCTCCGTTTACCCACTCTCGAACTTGTGTTTTGTTGATTATAGGTGAAACATTTTACTAATTAGACTGCGTTTCATTGTCACGAGTACAAAGTTAATGAATATAAACCAAATAAGAAGACCCTTTTATTGAACGTTTTGCATTAAAATTAACTTTTATGTTCATATGTAAATGGATTCCAATTTCATAATTTATTTTCATGCATTCTAGAATGCAGTTATCCAATAACTTAGAATCTAATTGGTTTAGGTTATGTACATTAAGTGTTTAGAAAGCTATTTTAGTATTATCTTGGAATAAATAAGCGAGTTAAGCTCTGTTTGATAATCAAATTTAGGACTTTAATTTAACGGATTCAGATTTTAATATATTAGTTTAGTGAGTTCAAATTTTAATATATTTAGACGTGTTTATAATAAAAAAAATAGAGCATACGAATTAATTAAGTTGCATTGAATTTTTTAAATAAAATTTGCCCAAAAAAAAAATAAACTATTCATTTATTACTTAGGTTCCGTTTGATAAAATTGAATATGAATTCTGAACTCTGAAGTCTGAACTCTGAAATCTAAATGCTGAAATAATTAATTTACTGAATTTTAAGTACTGAAAAGAAATATATGAATGTCTGAATTTTAATGCTAAACTTATTTATACTGCTTGATAAATATTTATAACTGAATGCTTAATAAGTTTAATTTGACAATTTTTCCCTTATATATTTTCATTCAAAAAAAATAGAACCTATGATTTAATTAGTTTAAAATTGTTAGGTATGAAAATGACAATATTTATTTTTAAATCAAATTAATATAAAAGATGCAATATATTATATGAGGAGTATAGAGAAGATGTGAAAGTCATTAAAAAGGGATAAAAGAGAAACAGAAAATCATTAAATAGAGAATATCAGGTTGTTTAATTAAATAGAATTTTGAACATAATTAACAAACAATAGTAGATTTGGTAGATAAGATAAGGTAGTTGAAGTAATTTTATTGATTTTTATTAGAATTAAGCATTCAGTCAGGATTCTTGTACTGAAAAAAATACAGACAAGTTTAGCACTGCTTAACAAGTTCAGCAGATGAATTTTTGTTTATCAAACACTCAAACATCTGAATGTCTGAAAAGATTTAGTTTCAGCACTTTTTTATGTTATCAAACAGACCCTTAATATGGTACACTATCAAATGCATCACATTTAGTACTTACCCATTCAACATTGTCGCGGATACTAAATTGGCTTTATGTTAAGATGCAGTATTCAACATTACAAATACATGTATCACCATCATTTAGTATCTCGCTAATGCCCAATCAACTGAACTGGAAGAGGCGTGATTTTCCTGTTGACAGTTGTAAGTAGAGGTGTTTAAATGGGTGATTTAGACGGGTTTGGGTTGGGTAAAATGAGTAATGGTATAAGTGAGTCAACTCATTTATACCCATTTAATTAGATGGGTATAAATGGGTAAGTCAAAAAATGAATTGGGTAACCCAATTACTCATTTATAACCCATTTATTTTAATTTTTTGTAAACTCATTTAAATTCATTTTTGCAAATTAAGTTATCTATTTATACCACTCTTTGTACCCATCATTAGTTTTAAATATTTACTTATAATGTTCAATAAACTTAATTACCAATTTTTTTTTCATTTATACTCTATGTCACAAAATTACCTATTATTTAATAATTGAATAATAAGAATATAAAATTTGAACTAAGTACTATAAAAATTAATATAAAACTTAATCCAAAAATTTTGAACCCCTAACATTTTTTTCATATATAAATTTAAAATTTCATTTTATAAAGATAAGAAAATAGGCTAAAATTTATCATAAATTGGTATTGCTAAAAAATGAGCAAATCAACAAACTAAGAGAAAATAAAATAATAAGATAAAACCAACAAATAATAATGATAAGAATAATGAAACAAAAATAGTTAACATCATGACAAAATGAAAAATTTGAAAAAAAAAAGGTGGGAGAAAAGAAGAGACTTGGGGGGAAGAGAATTCTAAATGGATTAATTGGATTTGATGGGTTACCCAATAATACCCATTTAATAAATGGGTATTATTGGGTAGCCCATTTATACCCATATACAAAAATTTAAGATATCTATACCCATCTATTCATGGGCGGGTCTGGGTAAATTTAGTTAAGTGGGTTGATTTGCCACCTCTAGTTGTAAGCAAAATTGTGATATGGACTCTGTGGTGCAGTTGGGCCGGAAGTGGGCTGCTTGACCGACCGTTGTTAGGGACTTTGGGAAGAAAATGAAAACAATGAGGCCCAACCCCACAAATCCATTTTTTCCTGTAAATAAATCTGGATTTAAATCTTTTGTTTCGCCTGAAAATTGAAAAGTGGGAAACGCCGTTTAACTGGTCGACCACTATCGGCCGAAGTTGAAATAGAAGAGAGGAGGCGTGAGATGTAAGCCGGAGGGCATCAGGAGGACCAGACAAAAAGTGAATTAACACACTACTCTACTACTACTACTAGCGGGAGTGGTAAATTTTAGTATACTACTAATATTCATCCATCCATTCATCCATCCCTCCATCCCTCTCACAATTGAAGTGACGATAGTAGAATTTGATGCTGAAGCAGGAATAATACCAGTCAGTGATTGACGGTGCTGGTGCAATATTAGTGCTGCGAAAATTCGTTTTCTTCCTGCGAATTAATTCCTACTTAGCAGCAGTGTAAATTTAAAAGAAATTTAAAATAACAAAAAAACAGAAAAAAGGATGCCGGAGGAAAACAAGGAGATTGCGATTGACTACGTGATGGAGAAGGCATCGGGGCCTCACTTCTCAGGGCTGCGCCTGGACGGACTCCTCTCCCCGTCTTCTTCTCCTCGCGCTCCCACTCTCTCTCCTTCTTCCTCCTTTACCCTTCCTGCCGACCCACCAAACAGCCCTTCGTCATTGGTACCAACCAACTTCACCTCTCTCTCTCTCTCTCTATTTTCTCCTTCATAATTTTCTTGCATTC